CAAAGATCATTTTTCACTATGTTATACATGTGGCGTTCACAGATGTGGCCCAAACGGAAACCTCTGAAATCCTCCATGCCGTTTGTGAGGTTCTCTTGGTTTAGGTGGATTCTCCCAGTGAAAAGTCATGAATCAATCTGAAAACGAACAGGGTTATGCCCATGTTTATTTCCTCGGCATATCTTACCTTGACGAAAAGGCAAATTGAAAATAATGGGGGAGAAATTGTTTTGTATCACACACTGTAATTTGTTGGCAGTATCAGCCAACATTAACGCATTACTTCTGCTGAATGTTATCATAATGACTCGACACAGCAGCTTGCCTAGTGAACTTCCGCAGAAATAAGAAGAAATCAATTCTCTCTATCCTTCAGAGGCAGCACTGAGCTTTAAGCTTTCTTTCTCAGCTCAACCAAAATGTCAAATAGACAAGTTGTTAAGAAAATCGTGTAATTTATTTTAGATAGAAGAGAATTAAAATACATGTATATTATTCACGTTTTTCTAGTTATGCTAAAGTGACATTCTTAGAGTGACACTTCCGAATGTCACTTTTGGAAGTGGAATGTTTTTATGGTAATACAGAGATTCATTAAAAGATAAACATTATTTTGTTTAAGAAAACAGGAGAAGGACAGCAGGAAGCTTTCCTGTGTTACCTTCTGCCTCCTGCGGGTTTATTTTACTTTTCCTGTGTTTACACACATATACATATTTCATACTCAGACTGTATATCAAAATGTGTTTTTTTATGTTTTTCTAAATTTCTTATACCTAGTGTCCTACCCTCACCTCAAACTCACCTCAAATTCACTCCAAACTTATTATTTTGTCTTTAAATCCCCCTTTGTAGAGGCCCGCGGGTGTCTTTAATGAGAGTCCACAGAAGTCCCCCTTTCACTGCTCACTATAAGCAGTGAAGACCAAATTATATTTTTGAAATTTTACAGGCATGGTTGTCTGATGAAGGCACTGACCTGAAACTGGCTCTCTTTGTTAAAAAGAAGAGTATCCAGGGTGAGAGAGGAGTGAGAGATGAATGTGAAATACCGAGCTCTGATGCAGCCAGAACGTGCAGGCCACAGAGCACTCACTGAGTCTGTGTGTCAAAGCTTTTTTGAAGGTTTGTTTCTGTGCTACCTGTAGTCAAGTCTCTCATTTCTCCATCCACCTCTGACCTTTAAACTTCTATCCAGGTTTTAAGACCCGTTCTTTGATTCCTTCTCCATAATGCCTTTTTTGAGTTCTTTAGGATGGCGGTTCTCAACTGGAGCAATTTTGCTCCCCAGGGTCATCCGCAGGGGAGAGATCTGGAGATATTTTTGATCATCTCCATTGGGGAGAGGGAATTCTACTGGCACCTAGTGGTAGGGGCCCCACATACCGCTGAGGATTCGGCAGTGCAAGGACGTCCCCTACAAGGAATAATTATGCAGCCTAAAATATCACCGGCACCAAGGTTTCGAAATCCCGCTGTAGGAGAAGGTGATTTCTTCATGCATTTTCCCTCTTTGTCGTGGCTTTTGTATAATGCCTGTTTAGGTATTTTAATTTATTTTATTAGCGTAGAAACTCTTTGTGGGAAGAAAGCATATGTATTTATCTTTTTCACCCCAGTATTGAACACTCAGAAATAAATGACAACGAGAAGCAAAAGCATCATAGACCGTGTAGTAAAAAACTATTTAGACTAGTGTAATTTAACATTTTTAAAGAACCTATTATAATATTTTATTTCTAATTTTTGTTCAGTTATGATATGTCAAGCTTGGAAAACATCTTAAATGTAATCTAGTTCAACTGCTTTTCTTTACCTAGGGACTTCTTTTGATTTTCTAAACACTGAATTGAAATTCAATTGCAATCATCCTCAGGTGCCAGACTGTGAAATTGGTATTTCCTCATTTAGACATTATCAAAATATATGGTGGCCCTCTGTGCATAGCTATATACTGTATGTATGAATTCGTTAACAATATTAATTGCAGAAAAGTCACTAGGTGATCTCTATGGTTCTTTTCAAACCTGAGGATCAGTGATTTAAATTTTCTTCCCCAAGCATATTTAAGAAATTGCATGACATTTTCCCTCTGAAAAAATATTTGTTTTATTAACTTCTCATTAGCTCCGAAGTATTTACATCTTATGCATCTAAATAAATTTGTACTCATTAATTACTTAATACCAAAAGTACCTTTGATTTTTTATGTGAAGACCAATATATTCTAATTATAAGGTCCCTGTTGAACTTCCATGGAATGTATTTCCTATAATTATCAACTGTCTTTTCATTTTCTATGGAAAAATATGTGTATATTTTTCATGAAAAAAGTTTTAAATTGCAATGACTTTAAGGGCAAAAACAGTTATGTCTTAAAAAACTTGTTACTCTCTATCCAATGCAGGTCAGGTATCCTTAATTTGAAAATTTGAAATCCAGAATGTTCTAAAATATGAAAATTTCTAAGTGCTAGCATGACATCCAAAGGAAATGCTTATTGGTGCATTTTGGGTTTCAGATTTTCAGATTATGGAGGCTCAATCCTTAAGTCTGTGATGCAAAAATTCCAAAATCCAAAAAACTTGTAAAACTGAATAGTCTCAAGCATTCAGGATTAGAGATAGTCAGTCTGTAGGGCATAAATGTCCCATGCACCAGGTAACATTCAGTGATTGAAATTGGAGTTCTCAAATACTTCAGTGTTAAAAAGGAATACTTTTCCCTTTTCTAGTGAATGGCTATACTTTAGAAAAGTTTATGTATTAAATCCCCTGAGTATTTTTTAAATAGCCTGAGTAAAGAGACATGAGGCTCTCTGAACATTTCAGTTAGTAAGTTCAAAGCTGAGCTTCACGAGCATTATGTCAGATGAAGTGTGTGAAGGCAAAGTTGGGAATGGGCGGCATTTTATTAAGTAGAAACTGTATAATTAGAAGCAGAAAATAGTAAAAAAAATGTTATCATGATATTTGCTGGCAAATTTGAAAAAAAAAAAAGCTTTGTTGCCTACTGTTGAATTAAAACATTTTTTATAAATTGTAGCTAAAATTTAATCTTACTGTTTTGAATACAATTTATAAAATGTGAGCTGTAGAGCAGCTTGGTGCCAATTGTCTGTGCAACTTCAGACAAATCGCTCAACTCTTACTGCATCTACTTTCTCATTTTTGGAATCTATAAGAGCAGGACTCTGGGTTTTTAATACGTGTCTAACTTTAGCCTTATAAGACTCACAGTTAAAACTTCTTTCCCATATATTTTATTTATTTCCCATTTCATTTTAGCATTGACAGTTTCGTAAGGAAAGCCTAGAACACATTGCTTTTATTTCTCTTCCACTTATGTTTTTTTTAAAAAACAAAAAACAAAAACCCAGGCTCAGACAGTTAAGTGACATAACAAAGCTGGGTATGTCGACAGCCTGATGCTGTTTCCAAGATGACTCACAAAACCCTTTCTATGAGAGTAATTATATAATTAATCTTTTAATTGTTATATTTTACTCTATTTCAAAAATAAGCCATACAAAGTAGGCTTTCAATATAAAAGTATGCTTCAAAATTCTAAAATGTTTTAAATGTAAACATTAACACCTCGTGGTTTGATCCAGGGATGGCCAATGAAGTTCAAGGCAATGTGACAATCTGTGTGGAGCGGTAGCAGCCTCGCGCCTTGGGCTGAAAGGACTTGGAGGACAAGGTCAGGCTGGAAGGAAAGTGTGCCACGTTAGGTTAATATATACATGATATGTAGTAATTAAAATGTATTAATAGAAATTAGTACAAAGTATATAGTGGCAGAACTATACACTTTAAAAGGCACTTCTTGGAGAAAGGGCCTTTTAAAGAAATTGCTTCAGACGTCAGTGTGACATTCCATGAAGAGCCTGGCACTGACCTGCCTTACGTCAAGTTTTATAGCTAGTATCATTTAAAAGGTTCCATTAACTTATTTCTCATGAATGTTTTCTTATTTAGAAGAAGGTCTTTCTTAAAGTACTTCATTAGGGTGTCTTCATTTGTCACCATACACCATCAAAGAATGTAGAGTTGGCTTCTATGAAGAGTTAGCATCTTAATAAGACAGGACGTGGTTTGAAAGCTTGAGTGCACTGCAGAGAGGTACCCACATACGACGTGTCTGTTAGATAGATGTCACAATATTTATTAAGTTTACATATGTCAATATAAGATGTATATGTGTGTGTGTGTGTTATGTGTAGTGAGAAGCATTGGTCTCTGGACCGTTTAGTGTGTACCTGTGTTCTCAGGTGCCAGGAAGGCTGAGACGTGGAGAATCACCAGCAGGTGCTGTTCCGGCTGCTCCCTGCTGTTCACAGTGAAGGGGCTTCATATCCTTTTCTTTCTTTGGAGTTAGACTTGATTGTCTCCTTTTTTCCACAGTGAATGGCTATACTTTAGAAAAGTTCAGTAATTGTCCAAGATGACATAGCTAAGAACGTTTTGGAGTCTGAATTCAGACCAAGATTTGTCAGGTCTCAAATGCCTTTTTCTTCACAAGGCCAGGCTATGCCTTGTTGATTCGAGGGCGTGGTTACTTCCCAAGTGATGGTCTATATTCTACATATATCTGAGGACAACTTTTGAGTTTGGCTTTCATTGCCTTGACACGTTGTGCCATTTCAGGGAAGAAAGAGAAGTGTGCCAGGGAGGAGAATCCTCACGGGCAGCGTTTGGCCAGTGTGAAGCCGAGGAGCTGCTTCTCTGGAGAGTGGAGTGTTTTACCAGCAAGCACTGCTCGGGGTTTAGAGGATTTATTGTAATTGAGACAAAAACTTCCCTGAAGAACTGTTATTGTTGGGGAGGCACATTATATATGAACTGCGCTTTCATGCTATTCATGCACTTAAGTTTGATTCAGGAAAAAAGTAGATTGAAATTTTGCCAAATACATTATTTTATCAGCAGAAGCATGTGATGTGGTCATGACTTAACTCGAGCCATACATGTAATTGAGAATGTCTTTTTTTTTTCCAGATTCCTCGGAGTCACTCAGTTTTCGCCTACACACGCCAGAAAGGCTTTCCCTTGCTTTGATGAGCCCATCTACAAGGCCACTTTCAAAATCAGCATCAAGCATCAAGCAACCTATTTATCTTTGTCTAATATGCCGGTGGAAACGTCTGTGTTCGAGGAAGACGGATGGGTCACGGATCACTTTTCACAGACCCCTCTCATGTCCACATATTATTTAGCCTGGGCAATTTGCAACTTCACATACAAAGAAACTTCCACCAAGAGTGGGGTTGCAGTAAGTATCTTCAGCTTCCTGATGCCTTGGGGTACACTCTATAATGTAACCTGATTCCTGGGTCTCTAATGAATCATCTCTAACCTCTTCACACCTTTATATAGCTGGATTCTTCCCTTAGTTTGTTTTGGGGGGAGAGCAGGCAAGTTATTTTTCTGATTTCAAAAGGAGAGAGGAGCTTCTCTTCTAAACCTAGCCCTCCGGTCCCTGCAGCCCCTGCAGCCCCCTGTCCCACCACCCCTGCCCTCCTCGTCCTTATCCTCACTCTGGGGTCTCTGGGATGGCTGTCGTCTTTGGGGGGAAATTGCCTGTTTGTGTGCCTGGGAAGGCTGCTCCTCATTTATTGTGAAAAATTTCAAATGAACAGAACACGTGGTGAATAATAATATAGTGAACTGCTAGCCAAGTTTGCACAACTAAATATTTTGCCCTCTCTGCTTCAGTCTAATTTTTGTTGTTGAGAAAGGCAACAACAGAAAGAGGTGAAGCCCTCTGTGTGACCCTTCCTGACCTCACTGCCTTGCCCCCTGCCTTAGAGATCCACACTGTCCTGAATTTGGTGTTTGCTGTTTACATGCATATTATTACACAATTACACATGTTAAGGGGGATGTGTGTATTTTAAAGTGTGGTATGTATTACACACTTATAATACATACCATGCTTTAACGTTCCATGAATGATTTCGTATTGTCATTAACATTATACAACTTGTTTTTATTTTCTCAGGAAAGGTAAGACAGAGGAGAGGGAGAACTGTATGCCTTAAATATATTATAAGAATCAGTTGGATTCTCTTTGATCACCATCACTGGTGACACTATGATTTCCAAGGCATTTTTTTCCTTTGTACGTATAACTGCATTGGAGTAGGCTAGACTGTACCATGTGACATTAACACAATTATTTCTTCCTCATCTCAGTGGCTTGCATGATATATATGCATTTATTTTAATGTCATATTAACTTTACCACAAGGTATTATGATTCCACTTTTTCCAAATTAGTAAAGTAAACTGAGGTTTAAAGAGATTAAGTAACTTGCCCAGGGTCAAAAATTAAGCAAATGGTAGAGCCATAGTCAAAACACTATTGATTTGATCCCAAGATTTTGAGCTTTTTCTCTTGTACTTTAGGAAAGTCGTGTTTTATCATTTCACTGTGAATCCTTAAGAGAATTCAGGTTGTGACTCTGCCCACCTGGTGCTTCTTGTATTCAGTGTTGGTTGAACATAACACAATAAGTAAACGGAAATCTATATTTTTAATTTGTAGGAAGTTCATAGCTCTATAATGACCTAAATTTTGAAAAATAGCTTTGGCTAAACAAATTTTCCTCTCTGTTACTTCTAATTTAAATCATTGAGGAACTTGTTTAAAAAATAACATCTGCCAGCACACAAAACTCATGCCATTATTGAAGAAGTGCAAATAGTGAGTTCATCTGTTCAGTCGTGGAAATGACGTCCTAGATGTGGGTAGTAGGCATTTCATTCTTTGGACTGACAGTCACTTGATACATTGAATTCCTCTGATGTCGGCTGATGTCATCCGTGGGCATTTCAAGGCTGTGCTCACTGGACCAGACACAGAAAGGAACATGAGGACATCTCATTTCCTTCTTGAGAAGGTGATGACTGCCTTGCTGTGGGTCAGCTGGCCTGGGCACCCTGGAAATGCTTTCTTCTAGTATGTTCTTTTAAAGTGTTCTCAGCCTTGTTCAATTATGCTTGTTGCTAAGTGACCCATGTTTAAGGCTCGACACCCTCTAGTTATTTAGGTATGACTTTTTTTTTTCTCAAAGTGAAGAGTCTCTAAAAATCTGTAAACATTTCAAAATTCCTACTTAAAAACTTTTTTGTAGCAAAGATAAAACATGCTAGCAGAGAAGGCTGAAAGATTAACTTCCACTGAAGTACAGTTTTAGATCATATAGTCCCAAAATGCTAAAATCAGTAAAAAGGAAATCATAATTGAATTGGCAGCCCTTATTTACCAACTGTGGAAATATAGCTGAGAACTTGGATATTTTTGGTCACTCCTCTGAAACCCGATCTAGTTCCCTCTTACTGCCTTTCCCCCTTACTACTGGGAGCACATGGGAATGACCTTTCTCAGACGTAGCAGTGGGAAGGAGTGGAAGTTTAGCTTTGAAATCTTGGACGTGGCATGGTTGTGTGAAGTCCAGGTGGTCATTTGAGAACAGAAGCTGAGATATGAGAGAGGAACTTGAGTAGCATATTAATAACACACAGCTGAACTGTGGCTGGTCCCTAGGTTAAATATTTGAGATGTCATCACCATCATTATTTACTTATCAAGCTATCTACACTTTGCAAGGCACTATTCTAAATCGTTAGAAAGATAAAAAATGTCTAAGACATTTCTAGCACAGAGATGACACATACAGCCTTCACACTGAACCCAAGGCTGCCGAAATACTTTGTTTACTCATCTAAAAAATGATGTAACTTTTTCTAATTAGTTGCCAACATTTAGGAATTGGGAGATCACACCTAAAATAATTCATTTCTGGTTCCTCTTGAAAAACTGAAAGATCTCATGACACTGGTCCCTCAGTCCTACTCGGCAATGTTTGTTCACTCAGTTTTCCTTCAGCAGACATCTGTTGACTGAACATTGTTCTAGATTTTAGGATACAGCAGCAAACAAAGCAGAAAAAATTCCTGCTGTTGGAGAGCTCACGTTCTAATGAGGTGAGAGACACAATAAAATAAATATACAATATGTTAGGGGTGATGTATGCTATAAAACAAATCCGTGTGTGAGAACTTACTTGGGGCATTTGCATCTCAAGATAACCCAATGAGACTACTTTTGTTCTTTTATACCCAGCCCACTTCACTGATGTGTGTTTCCTGTTTCAATCCTGTAAATATTTGAATTTTCGATGCTAGTTTAGGAGCATAATCTAGGAGAGTAGCCAAAAACTGTGTGTAAAGAAAGCAGTGAGTTTGTAATTGTGATCAGACACACTGGGGTTCACTAATTGTCAATTGAAAGTTGCAGAAAATAAGTTCAAGACTGGTTAGAAGAGGGAGAAATGTGTGAGCACTGACGTCTCTGGATACGGTTCATGGAGGAGAAAGGGTTTAGTATAGCCCTGAATTACGGTTTGGTCTTAGAGAAGGAGGTAATGTGTGCACACATGATTCTTGACTTGGGAAATGCTAATAAGACACAGAGGCAGGGATGTCTTTATGGAATATAGTGCAGTATCATCACCATAAACATTGATTTTAGAGTTAATCTGATCTGTCTCAGAATTTTTGCTTTGCTTTGCTCTTCTGCAAACTTGGTTAATTAATTAATTTCTTTTTATTCTGGTTTTTGTGTTTGAAAACTGAAAGTATGAATTCGTTCTTTACAACATTGTTCTGGTCACTAACATGTCACAACAAACAACTCCAGAACCTAGTGGCATAAAACAACCATCTTACTAAGCTCTGAGTTGCTGTGTCAGGAACTGGGAAGGGCACAGTGGGGATTCTTGCCTCTGCTCAGGGAAGTCTGGGCCTCATTTGGGCAGACATGTTGATCCGGGGTAATGGGATGTCTGGGGGCTGGAGTCATTAAAAACAATCTTTGTCTGGAGGTTGTGCGGTCAGTCCTCTGGGCTGTGAGCTGGGACCGTCAGCCCTGGCACCTATGCGTGGCCTCCTCGCATAGCTTAGATTTGCCAAAACCATGGTGATCTGAGGGTGTCTGGATTTCTTACATGGGCAGTTCAGTGCTCTACAGGCAAGAGTCCCACAAGAACTCGGTGGAAACTGTGTGGTCTATTTTCACTTATCCACAGAAGTCCCACAGCATCACTTCTGCTGCCTTCTGTGGGTTACAAGTGATTTGCTGAAGATGGTCTCAATTCAACAAGAGGCACAGGCCCCAGCTCTTGATGGGAGGAGTTTCAAAGAATTTATGGACCTGCTTAAAATCATTGCAGTCTGCTCTCTGCCTACAAATTATTTACACTCACCCACATACAACCTGCACTTGCCCATGGTCCTTACCCCATTACAGCATCAGGCTCAGATTTGAGGACAAGGACACCACTGTTGGACTCAGGTGCAGGCACCAGGAAGACAACTTGAGTTTGGTTTCTTGGGCCTGGTCTCTCTTACTTTGAAACCTGTTAGCTATGAAGATAAGATTTTCCCTTCTTTCTTCCCTCCTCAGACGGATGAGAATATGGTTATTACAAATGCCATTTCTGTTCAAGAATGGAGAAAATGGGGAAATACAGTAGTTATGGGCCCACAGAAATTCTGCAATCCCCCTGGGCACGTGGCACCAATTTCCCAATTACACATCAGTGCTGTTTCCAGTGGATTATTCCTTTGGTATTTGGCTCCACCCTTTAGGCCCTTAGTTTTGCCTTCTAAGACATCCTTTCTTTTCTAATTGAAAGGTAGTTTGCATTTGCAATTAAATAATAATAATTGGATAAAAATACAATTGGCCTTTTATATCCATGGTTTCCACACTTGCAGAGTCAATCAACTGCAGATTCTAAATACTTGAAAAAAATTCTGTCTGTCTGTACTGAGCAGGTATCTGTCTGTCTGTACTGAG